TATTCAAATTTCTTTCTTGAGGTCTGTACTAATTTTTATACGTCGTCAAATTCTATGAGAAGCCCATAACTGTAATTGGATAGCAATTTCTGAAAATCACTTCTGTCAACGGCGAAAATTATTGTTCTTCTAAACGTTATAATATGAGTATTCTAAATCATATATGGAATGTTTCATGCATAAATATATGTATTTCATTATTGATTCATCATATATTATAATAAGTTAGTGTTCGAAAAATTATCCAAATGAATTTTCATCTCACAATACATGTTTTAAAAATTTTACAGCAGTAAGTTCACACAAATTTCATGGAAGTTTTCCCCCCTCCGTTAAACATACATTGATTAACTTTTTTTTGCATCAAAGACGAACTTTCTCTAATTTTGAATGGTAAATTTGATTGTTCGTTGTGGGTATATTATAGGCCGAATCTCAAGCAAGTAATAACAAATATAGTACATGATAACTTATTTGAAAAACAATACGTACTTATACTGAGTTTTTAATATATAAACTAAGTCATCTTTAATATAAGTCATCATTTGAGCTCATTTCAATGAACCTTTGTTCAGGTCATTGACATCACTCAATAACGCGCACCTAGCATCAGGACTCATAACGAATTATGCCGAATAATTAGTAAGCGTAATTGAAGAGAACAATACCAATTAACGAGTAATAAACGAGATAGTGGAACAAACTCGTCTGTTAATTACATTCGACTAGTAATCAATCATGGAAACAGGATTTTATACATGTTTAATCTGAATGCTATAAAGAACAGAAACAATAACTGATGGAAAGTATTTTTCGTGCGTCGTCATGGAAGATATGGTTTGTTCGAACGCTGAGCGTATACGAGTAAATAATTTTGATAGTTCAGTCCTGTATTTACTGGAGAAATAATTTAGAAATTATCGGTTGGTTGTTAGGTTATCAGCGCTGAACGATATTCTAATCACAGGTCGTTCCTAACGAGATTTTTCTGATCAGTTGTGTTATCCAGTTACCTAATAAATCTAATACACACCTTTCAATGTATATTGAACGGTGTATATTTAATTATTCAATCAATATTTAGTTATCGTTTTAAAAATATATTGCATATAGAATCAGTTCTAACATATCACCTTGGCTTTAATTTTTCGAAACTTCACTGAATTTAATTCGTGTAATCTATATAATTCTTAGCCAACAATGCGTATTTTTATTAAAGGCTAGTCGTTCATTTAATTCACCAAAATTGTCAATTCAAGGTTAATGATTCTTTTTTGTTCTTCGTATTAAAGATTAATTTGGAATCATTGGATTTTAGGAAACAATCAATAAAATTGTCGATCTCGAAAGTGTTCGATTTAATGAAAATTAAAACATTGGACTGTTTGTGATCGCGTGCATCAATTTGTATCATCCTATGGCTTATCCCACACAGGAATCCGTTCTCAATAAAATTCACAAGAACTCTAAAACTACGAGTTTAATTTTTTTATCAAGCGACCCGATCAAGACGAATTCAGAAGTAGTAATCATACCGAATCCTACCGATCTATAAGGCAATCCTGTACGTTTGTTGCATACCATCCATACACGTGGAATGTGCTCGTGAGGTACGAAGCTGGTGTAATTTTGTAGCGACTTGAAGTCACCTGCTCTTCATTGTATGACCTAAGCTCTTGCGTGGGCACCTCAAAATAGACGCGATTTACTTGCTGTCTTGGAAGTCACGCGAGCGTCAGTTTTAGACGAGAACTATCACAGCTCCGACCGCAAACAGGCGCGCACTCTTTATGTCTCTTGGGCATCGGTGGTGAGTTTATCTGGCATTTACCGTTGCAAGTACATATGCAAGTTATACTCTTTCATGTGTTTTTTTTTCATCTTTTACGTTTAATACTTTTCGAATTATAAGCCTTTACTTTTACCAACTTTTTTGGGGGGTATCCCTGTACCATGAGCAATGGATAGAAAGTATGTAATAAAGAAATATATATTATATGCTCTGTGGCAAAGATATGTTGTCTGAATGCAGTGGTAGTTAAAACACGAATCATTCCTCAGCAAATTAAAAAAGATGCAGGAATTATAAATCAGAGGTAACGTGCGTGAAAATTCTTAAAAGACTTCAATTTCAAGCCTATCTTCTCGGCTTTTTTTGTGAAGCATACGTTTATAATGAAACAACACATATCCTGAAAATATTCTACACAAAATATGCAAATAAATCGGCACTTCAAAAGTAATTACTTATGAATTCCAGCAGAAAGACAAAGAGATTTGGGACGAGCATATTCAAAAATCTTGTCGTACGTGCATCGGTTCATGTATTACTACTCAAGATGTTATCATTGAATCTGATGCCCAACAACGGCTTGTTTTGAAGCTTCAGACAAAATTCTGCACTTCTTTCCTCATTTTCCGAATATTCTTTGGATTTAAAAGTAGGAATTTGAATTTGATCAGTCGCCCAAGAGGAAACTTTCAATCATACTTTGCTCTTATGGACGAAAAAGTACAGCCATGTCTCACAAATAGCGAACAAAATTATCTCCATGCAATAGGCATTTCCTTTCGTAATCAGGCATGGCAAGGAAAAATTCCCAGCTGTCGCTATATGTCGTCAGAAGTTCGTTCAATCATTGCAGGGACTTTCGAAAGCTTACAAGAAAGAAACAACGCCTATTTACAGCAGAGCATAAAATTTTTATCTGTCAATGCTGCATATATGATTTCCGAACAAAACTTATGCCTTCCAGTCTCTGATTGTCTTCATTTCTGCCCGCTCTTTGAGCACTGAGTGTCAACATGGTTCCTCCTTGGCCAATTTTGTCTAGAAAATCTATTGGGATCTTTCTTATATTATAGACAATTGAATACTTCAGAGACAGACTAAAAGGCATAAAATCTATTCAGAAATGTTTAGACTTAAATAAATCTGACCTAAATTACGTATGAAATATTAAACTTGTTGACACGAATAAGATCTTGGTCACGAAGAAAGGGAATTTTATTGTGTAAGCCAAATTGTTAATTTATATAATTAATTAGCATCTTAGGGAATTGAAGACAACATTTCGGCAACACAAATTTACAACAAAGTTAGTTCTCAATAATGAATAATGGACGCAAATGATGCTATAATTTTTAGCGTCAATCTAATGCATTAATCGATCTCAAATGCGGATTCGCTTCAATTAAGAACCTGCATCACTATATGAATATTAATATGTTTGACACTTAACGAAAAAATATTTTCGAATGACCCTAAAGTTTGTTTAGAATATAATATTCCGTTCCAGATATAAATTTAGTTTGTTCAGTAACCGAAATATAAAAATGAAAGTAGGCTGATGTCTGCGTTAGCCGAACATCTGGGATATTTCTAAGCAAAATATTCTCGCTGGTATATATCTGTTACTAAAGACAATTTCAACTCGATGCGAATAATTGAGCACAGATTTTAGTAGAAATTACTGTGCACTCTGAGATATTTTAAAACAACTATATAGTGCTTATATGTATTTTCATTTTTAAAACTGACGCTTCTGATGATCGGTTTGTGGCTTGAAATTCTAATTTTTTATAAGAAAGTGTTTTCGATTTTTTATCACTTTGAAATACTAATCTCTACGTTTTAAGCTTTCTAGGAAATAATCCTATGTTTGAAATAATCATATACGGCTTCCAAGTAAATTAAGGAAAGTAAATTTAAACGAGAATTGCGTGTTGTGTCACCGTTTGGGTAACAAAGACTGCTAGTGAACTGAGCAAAACTGGTGCGACACGCGACTGTTAAGACAGTACGCCGTGGCATGCTACTGCTGCATTAGCCGAGGCTCAGCTTCACGACGTGGTGTGAGCGATGTCGCAGCCTCACGACACATACAATTCCGTCCAGTAGCATCACTACAAGAGGCGCTACTACATTCCTATTCGATTTAAATTTTTTATTGCTGGCTTCTACGCTGAGACTCGTTAACAATGAAATTACAGAATTGCAAAAATATCTGCTCATTCTGTAGGCTCTACTGAAAGACATTGTAAATTAAATTCTGTAATATTTGACGTAGGCCTATATATGTGAAATAGTAAAAGTGTTTGTTGATTCAACAATTTAATTTCCGTTTTCGTTTGGTTAACATTTCTCAGGATTCAAACTAAACTCGAGATAAGTGAATTGATAGCAAAATTCTAAAGTTTTACTCCAACTCGTTTGCCTGCACCCGCAGCACGCTACTACCCCGGGTACAGAGACCAGAGGCAACAATTGAGAGGTAATCTGTTTTATCTTATAAACGCCGTATTTCGTTCGCTGTGCAGCTAAATATATTATTTTCCATAACATTCTGTCTTGGACCGCAAAATAGATAACAGAAAATCAAGTGAACAAACACAAGAAGCAAATTATGGCTTTTCACTTAGCGCCCATAAAACTCATCGTGTTCGTCAAAGGCAACGACGAAAGCGATAGTTGAGCAAGCAATCAGAGCGCTGCAATGCAGCGGCCGCACTGAGTAGCGCTTTATCCCGCACAATTATATTTATGGCTTTTTATTCATATTAGGAGTGAGTTAGTTTCGAATAAATAGATCCAACTGAAATATTATTGCTCAGAAACCAAAAAAGTTAGTTCAGGATTTTCATGACAGACTAGTCAATTTGAGGAGAGTCGTCAACTTTGCAGAGAGGTTATTTTATGTTCACTTGAAGCAAGCATGATAAATTGTACAATATTTAATACTATCTCACGTTTTTATCAGCTTCTGGAAACGTTGGAGTTACGGAATTTTAATTCATGTATCACATTCTATTCTTAAGCAGATAACAAAATTATCAATAAGTAAAATAGATGTTAATGACATCGATTACTTTAAATAGAAGTTCCAAGTTGTTCATGTTTATAGAGAGGAATGTCATATACAGAGTAGATAACATAAATGAGCACAGACTTCATGATTATCTATGGAAAATGATTTTGGTGTTGATGAATAGTTTCTTACTTGGCCCTCTTGCTGCTTTTCCTGGGGCCGATGCCTGTAGGCTGCTGCTATATGACGGAGAAGGAATAAAAACATCATTATTATCAAAAAAATTTGTCAATAATGAGTACAGCCTCCTACTTTAAATTGTAAAATGCTATAAGAATAAATGCTTTTCAATTCATAGTTATGACTTACGCTTTAACTTAGCTTCTAATCTCAACTGAGTTTTAGTAGAAACAAAAAAAAAACATTCTAATGGAAGACATTAAGAAGAAGTTAGGTTACCTATAAGGTATTTAGGCTTAAATAACAAAACTAATACGTATTTACAAAAACCAAATTTATATAAACCACAGATGCTGAATATAGCTGGAATCCCAGTTTCAGGGTATATGTATAAGTGGTGGAAGTTTAGGTACAAAGAACCACATGGAGCATTCATGCTGAAAACGTGCATATGTTTGAGTGCTCACGATAAACAATTCGATTTACAAATTTCGCAATTCCGTCTGTCGATTCGCTGTATTTTGTTGCAATATGCTAAACGTGTTATTCAAATCAAGTTTTGTTTTCATGTCCGTTACAAGAAAAAGGAATAGTGAGCCTATTCCATGTAGTAGGCATCATGCTTGATCAGTGTTTCATATATTTTGAATTAATGAACTCGTGAAATCATCAGGTTTCATTCGAAATTTAAAGTATATTTGCCTCTTTGTCTATATTTTCGGTGATAGTGATGACATTTATTTAGAGGGCCTTTCTTAGTTTTTAGTAACTTTGTAAATGCCTTTTTAGTAACTTTTTAGTAACTTTGTAAAAGCCTTTTTTTAGTAACTTTGTAAAGGCCTTTTTAGTAACTTTGTAAATGATGCAAGATGTTTATTTGGATGATTATGACTATGTTAATACAAGTGTATTACCGAAATTTCATCTGATAGCGTTCAGACTATTTAAAAAATGACAATGATTTCCTGCAGGTATTTTTAGTCTCAATCTTTACTTTTCTCCCTATTTTGTCCCATATCTGCATCTTATAAGAGAGTTTTTCTTCTGATATTCATAGGCTTAGCGAAAAATATTTATACGAACTTAATTTAGTGATTTCTTTCTTACTTTGTTTTTAAGCGTTTCCGCATCATCAACTTCATTCGAAAACTTCCGTTCTAGTACCATATGCGGCATTTGGCGTGTGATTTTCAATCTTTGATTGTAGCCATAATATAAAATAAAATTAATCCGTAATATGGACGCAACATGAGTGGTTAAATTTGTAACCGCAGTTCCCACTTTCTATTTGGTAGTACTCGAATGCTTGCTGGTATAAAATAACTCAGCTTGCGTTGATTATAACTTTATTTAAGTGCTGTAATAGAATAGAATAGAAGTGTCGGCACTGAAGAAATAGGCCCATGGCCTGTTGCCGATTCTTGTTCATAGAATATAATAGAAGTGTCGGCACTGAAGAAATAGGCCCATGGCCTGTTGCCGATTCTTGAACTTTTCGTGACTTGATTCACAAGGGATCCGGCCTTCGGAACCCGATCTTTCCATAACTGACGGTTGATTGAGATAGCAATGCTCGTGGGAATTGATTTTAAACTTAGTAGGCCTGTCTTAGGGAAAGGCAGTGAAAAAATGTAATACATGTGGAAATGGATTTTAAACTGAGTATGTCTGAGTTACCGAAGGAAGGGAATTAATATGTTTTCAACCATTTTAAACCTCATCCTCATAAATTTCTTTTCATCAATTTCATTGACTTCAATAGTGCTAAAAAGTTTTCAGTCAACAATGGCCGCCTTAGATAAACAGTTGGACTGAAAAAATAGCCAGGTAACCTTATATTAGAACTCGATCGTTCGTGTAAAAAGGGCATAAAAAAATTTAATTCCGGTATATCAACTGAGCTTCCAGCCCTAAATTTTTTAATTACATTTGAAGAAAATTAAATTTTAAATTACATTTAAATTTTTAAATTATATTTAAAAAAAGAAGATATTACTGAACCTTAAGCGGGATTTTCAATCCGCTACAACGATTTATGTTGCTTGATGTATTTGTCCATCAGACTAAAATACAATATCTTTTAGCGTTATTTCCTTCACTCGCAGATGTTTACCAAAGAAAACATTCAATGCTCACCCTTACAAAGTTTTATTGGCAAAATTCCCTAATGCATTGACAGACTGGCAGCAGGAGGTAGGAATGAGACGAAGAATCACGAAAGTCTGAAAAGCTACTCCAGAGAAGTTGATCAATATGCAAAAATGAGTCCATAAACCAATTACCCATTAGTTGAATGGCTTAAATACGAGTACAATGCATTGCTGAGTGCATCGTTGGCAAAAATCGTTAGGAACTCCTTTACAAGAGACTTGCTAATTACATTATTGCTCATGATTATATTGAGACTGTCTATTTATGCCAGGACTGAGAATAAAGGGACCTATGATTAAAAATTATTTCGATAACTCTTGGCAAAGAAATGTAATAAAAACCTCAAAGGGAATTTTATTTGAGATTTTAACCTCAAAGGGAACGTTTTATTCTGTGCATTCTCTGTGCTGTTCAAATTATCTGTGGCAACGGGTGTTTATTAAATGATCCACACAAATAATTATATTTATAAACCCTCATTGGAATGTGCTTACTTTGCTGAGATAATGGTTATGCTGCAGGATTACCCGACGAAAATGCACGACAGATCAATTTTGATTGGGAATCGCCTTTGCATATTTAGGTACCGCGCCAGGATGTTGACTAAGAAGCCGGGTCTTTTAAACTCTTATTCTAATTCTCATTCATAGTAATCATTCTATTTATGAAATCAGTCCCTTTGATACGATAAGTTCGACATGTCCGTTCACGTTCACGTTGATGCACTTCATCAATACCTTCTCTCTGGCGTGAAAGGAACCTCTGCCCAAAGGTTTAAGCTTAGTTTTATCATTCATGACCATTAGTGGCCAATATAATTATTCGTTATTTTGAAAATGATAAATTTGGGACTGACATTTTTCAAGAAAAATTTATACTCCTAGGTGCGTAAATCGATTGTCAATATTCGTGGCATCAGTAACTTTAAAATTTCAGCTGATATTTCTTTATAAAAAAACCGATAACCGACACTGACACCGTACAATAATTAATTCTATTTGATAATGCGCAATAATTAATTAAGGAAAAAAGAATTCAGTATGAATATTGAAAATATCGTTACAAGAAATATAATGCTTACAAAAAGGGAAATTTTTATAAAGCTATAGGAGGAAATTGCATGCTTTAATCACATTGTTTTGAATAATTAAACTTGACTCTAGCGAATGTTTTCTCACAATAATCGGCTTGAGGTCATGTCTGACATACGCAATCTCCCGTGCGTTTGAACTCTCGACAGAGTCGCACCATCAGAATACCAAATGCTTTTCTTTATGTTGCTTTTGGTTCGATGTCGGTAGAGGACTTCAAGCCATGGGCTGAAAATAAGCTAAAAAATCATGCATATTCATTTCGAAAGTTTGAACTTCTCCGTGCACGTGAAGCACCATATGTATTTTCAGTATTCTCATACAACATTGAAGTAAAATTTAGAAATAGGTAATAATATAGGTTGTACAGTTTACAGTTCACTGGAATTACATATTTACAATCAAACAACTGAAAATTAAGACAAAACATATGTATAAATAACAAAAAAGAACGTTCATAAAAATCTTTATGAAGCAGAAGAAAATAATATTCTTTGAGACATGATAACATTCACGAAAACAAATTGATAAAAAATTATTGATGACAGTTGTTTGATATGAACAGACGCTCGAAGCTTTTTTCAACTTGAAACCCCTCAATAAATTCGAGTGCGGTATAATTCGGATATAATTTTAACATTTTGTACGCTCATACTGTACTGCATCATAAAATAAATTTATTTAGAGTTTAATTGTTACTTGGATCTATTCATTTAAGGAATTTCTTTCGTTAATGACAATCATCGTAAATATTTATAAAAAATTATCCCTAAAATATCTTGGAATTAATTGATTTATTTTTATTAATTGATTTATTTATTTGCTTCTCTAGCCCTCGGCCGTCGAAATGGTCAAGTTTTTTATCACTATCCAAATATTATTCAACCCAATCGTAGAAAATATTAGGCACAAAGGGACATAATTACGACTATCAAAACTTCTTAGTATATGTTTGAATAGATCAGCTTATATGCAATTACTTATTCAAGCACGACATCTAATAAACGAAAATATTGCATACGGTTTAAAAAGGATTTCTATGATCACATCAATTTGAAACACAAAAGATTGAGATGGAACAAAATAAAGAGTTGTCAATATAACCTAGTGCGATGAATATTTATTTTTTGTTCGTGAATCGAATGAAAAAATTACACTAAATGCTCAAATTGAACTGTTTAGCGATTTATGGAGGATGTATAATAAATAACTTTGTTTATCGGAAAAAAATAATATTATGTTAGGTAAAAAAGTGGTTAGTTTTGTTCACTATGTTTAACACAGGTTTACTGAGTAGTAAGCTTGAAGAATCAGTTTATAGTTTTAGGAAAAGTTTTAGTAGTGCTTAGTGTTCTATGTTAAACAGGTTTAAAAGGCACATATTTAGTAGCCATTTTAGCATTGGTTTAAACAAGGTTACAAGATGAATGAAATTTAGTTGGATAAATAGTAGTTCTGGTATCAATAGTATACACCAAAATACTCCCAATTAGTACGAGTAAATCCACAGAGAGAAAAACATACACTCAGTGTGCACGTTCTGAACATGAAACTGGTGCCAACTTTACAGCGAAGTGTCAACTGGAAGGACAATCGTGTCTCGTGTCTCACGGGTTTGAGCGTTTTCCGCGCAGCTTCGTTGCCAACCGACGATTGTCGGTGTAGTGAATGTCCGCTGGGTACATTATCTTGGCCTTTCTTCAGCTTTGCTTCTTGACCAACCATGCGCAGATACTGGATCAAGCCACCCTTTCGCCCAATTCCTAGGTTACAAATTGGGTCGTAAAAACTATCCAACGACACACCTTTCTCCTCCTTGTCAACGCTTCCCTTCGTGCCATCAAAGTCCGCATCGTCGTCCTCAACCTTTACTTCGACTGACTGGCCAAAACCGATGAGCATCCAGCGAGACTTGGCCTTCTTCTTGGATGACGAGGTTCTCGTCCAAGTCATCAAGTCGTAGTCGGGATATTCCCTCCGTTCTTCGCCACTGCCTGAGCGAGGACTGCATCTCGGAGTGGCCTCTTTGGTTGTTATCAGCGGCGTAGGTCGCTTAACATCGGCGTCTACGTGGGCAAGTTTCTTCGTAGTCTTCGTTGGCTCCTGTGATGGCTGATCTAAAGCTAGCTGCGAGTCAACATACACCGAGAGTATTTTCAACCCTTGAAATAAATCCTCATGGCATATTTTATTTGTATGTATGAGTTCCAGCGGCGTTTCCCTAAGCATTGTCCTGGGGCCGTATTATCATAACTTCGTAAAGTACGCAAAATCGACTTACGAGTGGCGAAAGTGCTGATATGATGACGGAACTCTAGCGGTGGTATTATCAAAACATTTGCGCGGGAAGCTACGTAACGTAACTGTATGCCTGCTCGGAGATGTCGTAAGTGGAGTTCCGCACAAGTTTATAGAGTGTCTGCTGTAGCAATAGGAAACTATTGATTTATTAGCAAGTAGCAGCACGGTGAATTGTGATAGAATTTTATCAATAATCCGACATGTAATATGTGATCGTGCTGAACGGTGCATTTGGGATAAAAATGTCAATTGCCTTTTGTGCTTTAATTTACAAGCAAATGTTGATTATCATATCGTAGAGTTTTATGATCATTCACTTGAACAATATCTTAATGCCTTTTTGATTCAAAATTATATTGAGGTTGACAAGCCAACCATTTTTCTAGTTCTCTGTAAACAAATTAATTTCTTTTTATGACAGTCGAAACTCCAACTCACGAAATTTTCTAAATTCTTTGTGACCTTCTAAAAAATTCTTCAAACTTTGAATGGGAATAATGCATTTATTTGCCCTTATTGCAAAAAATTTCGGTTAATAATCACAACAACAAGTGAATTGCTATTTGGATAATATCTAACTCATTTATCCAAACACACCCTCGTCAGGCACCGCAAATCGGCAAATGTCGCTGACACCATAAATCCTGCTTTCGTCCAAGCGCACTGCGCACTGGTCGAGATGAGGTTACTGGAGACAGGAAGAGCAAATCCAAAGCCTCTGATTGGTCAGTTAGCCAGATGGTTTTGATAATACGCTTCTAGCTAAGTCTTGCGTACGAAAGTTTTGATAATGCCAAAATTATAAATCCTTACGTAACACGCAACTTTTTTGCCGTACGTACAAAAAGTTATGAAGTTTTGATAATCCGGCTCCTGAGCAGTAACTTAGTCCTAATAGGCTATTAAGGCTGTACTTTTTGTTTTAATCATGTAGGTTTAACTTTATTCATAACTCACAAATTAAATTGTCTCCACTTTCAGAACTGTAGTTGCATAAAAATTTAATGTTGAATGTGAATTTGTGAAAGTTCCATTTGTTAACGTTACTTTAGCTATTAAATTTGCTACGGGATACGAGATTACAAGATTAGGGATTACTGGATTAGGAGTCACGGCGTTCCCACATCTCATGGATTACCAATCTCGGTTAACTTCTGGTTAATTGGGCTGCTTGTATCTAAAAAAAAGTACACCGTAAATTTATAACATGACTATGTATAAATTGTTATTTTCAATGTTTGAATGACATGACTCCAGATTGGAAGACCAAACTTAACTACTATAAAAAAACCTTCGACTCTCCCCAAATTCGAAAGAGTTTGCCCCTGGTTTGGAGAATGAGGTAAGTTGAAAATAACGCTGGTCATAGAATTTAAAAGGCTCATTTGAAAAAATTCTTTTACGGGAATCATGATTCTCAGCATTAAGGATTGATAAGCCCGACTTATTGATACACTAAATATTCCAGAAGATCCTGATGTCAATTGGATGTGTTAATTAATAAATGAAAACAACGAGTAATAATGGTATGGATTAGTGAATGAAAATTATAAAATCATAACAGATTAGACAGAATCTATGCTTGTGAAATTCTCGTGGTTTTCGAAGGCCCAACCCTAATATGAAATTCATTTCTTGGGCATGAAATTTCAATTTCATAAAAAGTTACAGTTTGAAGTTGAAATTTACTTTGAAATGATACACTCCATTGAAATAATTTATCTCAATATCAGCAATGTGAGATAGTGTAAATTGGTTGTAGATTGTTAATTTAAAAAATGTCATGTCGTAAATTCCTGAATAAGCAATGGGCTTTGGTTTTAAGTGTGGCGATATTCTCGAGATTTAACAATAATCGTACACCTGAGTATCATAAAGACATTTTATGAAGTGTCCAAACAAAATTATTTGAGATTCTCCCTCGCTTTTTTCAACTTGACTAATTCGAGAGAACAAAACTTAACAAATTCTAGCGAGCAAGTCTTAACAAATTCTAGAGAACAAACTTAACAAATTCCAGAGAGCAAGTCTAAACAAATTCTAGAGGACAAGTCTTAACAAATTCTAGAGAGCAAAACTTAACAAATTTTAGAGACCAAGTCTTAACAAATTCAAGAGAGCAAATCATAACAAATTTTTTAGAGCAAGTCTCAACAAATTCTATAGATCAAAACTTAACAAATTCTTTAAAGCAAGTGTTATCAATTCTAGAGCGACTGCTCTGACCTGAGAGGCTTGTTTCTCGAGGCTCCTCCTGCGCTGGGCCAGCAGCAGTTGCAAGTTCTTGTCTTCGTTGGACGCCCCAGGACGCCGCTGCGAAGAGGCTGGGGCGCTGCCTTCCGCCGTACCTGAAATGTGGGGAATTTTTAAATTATAACCATAAAACTAAGTTATACTAGCAAAACCATACAAGATTCAAGACTATACGAGAAGCTATTGAGATAATACTATACAAGCTTCATAACTGCACAAGCAATCAGCGTAGAGAGGAACGACTGGGTAAGAAAAACAAATTTATTTACCGGCGGATCTTTGTGAATCTTCGTTCACATTTGTGTAAGAGAAAAAATAGTGTATAAGATTTGTGTATAAGAAAAAAAATTGTTCATGTGAACTTTTTTTAATAAATGAATGAAAGAAACGTAAAATGTGTATAAAATGGCAAAATGGTTGGTCATTTATAAATCTATCTCCTTCAATGTACGTGCTGTTGTTAAGAAAATATCTATTGAATCTAGGTACATATTTTAAATTTAAATCACCTTAAATTTAAATTACTCCTCCACCCTAGTTTTTCAGTATATAGTACAAACCATGTACGAATCAGATAAAAGTGCATCTAGTGTCGCTCGCTACATTTGGTCTTTATGAATCGGATGTCATGTCTCTCAATGCTTTGTAGCTAGAAAATCGTAGGAGGAGTTACACTTTTAAGAGGGCGTATTTTGGAAATTTTTTAACTGTTGAGTGGAGCCTAATGAGTAAAATTGATTGAAAAAATGAGAATGCTAAAATGTTGAACGCGTCTTGTTTGCAGCTTCAAAATGAGTTTAAACACATTGCAATTAACGCGGATAATGACGCATAAATTCGATTTTTTCAAAGTAATTTTTCTACATTTTGTTGACAAATGTTCATTTCATTTAAATTTTGAAATGCCTCACGCAAAAACTGAAGTACGAACGTGCGGTTTGTTGAGTTAGCTCCGTATTGTTTGCAGCTACAAAAGAAGCATAGAACCAGCTTAATTAACGCGGATAATAACCTATAAATACAAGTTTTCTAAAATAAATCTTTGTACATTTGTTAATAAGTGTTCATTTTATATAATTTTGAACTGCTTTACTCAAAACTAGACCACGCACGAGTTATTGAACTTTGATATCTTTCAAGCCGTCAATCATTCATTGCATCACGTCTTCGGTGCGCACATTTATGTTCACACTCACAATGCTATTCCTACCAAGACAATAACAGGTAATACCGTCAAGGGTCAAGTCACAAGTCACCTGCCGTGGCGATGACGTTGGTGGCTGTAGAGGCCTGGCCCTCCGCAGACATTCTCTCCTCTACTTCAGGCCCCCTCACCGGGACGTCGGTGTCCATGTCCTGTAAGGTAATATGTTCAACAGTAGCAAACTTAAAGCCTAAACATAGTTTTTAATACATTAATGATTTATGAATGTTAGGCTCCTCAGGAATGGCGTTTAGCGCCATAGCAAGTTTTTAGGCCCCAAGGGTGAAAGTCATTCACGAAGCCAAGGCGTGAAGAAGCCAAGGTCACGAAGCCAATGCCTATAACCAAAAATATATGTACTTACGCCTTGTTTTTTAAATAAATCTGTTCCTTAAAAAGCTTTAAGACTTCTGCAGGTCTGAAAAGTATGATACTTCTGAAAACACACAGCTAGAGGATCTCATTCTCCGAATCTGAAAATTCCGATCCTTCTGCCTACTCATTACCACGACTATTGTAGCATATTGGGACAAAATCGATAAACGCTCCTGAATAGGAACGATTCTAAATAGGCTGATGCAAGAGTGAGAATTTTTGTTATCTTTCCCTATAACAGTGCAGTTGAAAATGTGGAGAATCTTGCTACCTCGTGATAGCATTTTCGCGATAGCATTATTGGAGAATTTTACAATGTCACAATTGTTCTCGCTTTTCTCTTAATGGGAAGACACAAATTCTAAAAGGCTATGAATCCATGCCAACGGACAGAGTGCTCTATGCTGCTGACCTGGAGTTAATTCAAACCTCTTAGAGCGGTAAAATTTCAAATTCATTCATCAAACGGAAACCGACGTTGTTTCCATAAGAGTGTAAACTGTTATCTGAAGATTGCTGAATCTTTTACTGAACTATTGCAGCTAAATACCTTAATCCTTTTGCTGTTGCTTACAGCTTTTTGGGAGCAAGCCAGCAATGCAAATCTAACTCAGAGGGATATTAGAACACTCAGGTGTTCGACTACTTTCCATTAGTAATTCAGTACGCGAAGATATTTATACAGTGCAAATTTGAATGGAAATTCATTCAAGAAGAATAAGCCTCAAGAACCCAAGGCAACAGGACATCATTTTAACTTGAATGGAACGTTTCAAACGTGCAAATATTAAATATTATAACCTAATAAATTGCCACACTCGCCTCACAAGAAGAGAGGTGACTAGTAGGCTGGAGCTGCAGCGACGGTATTGGAACCTCTGTTAACTGGTCAACACGACTGCCGGTCCTGCTCACGTGTTGAGACATAAATCAACATTCATGAAATGATACGTGTTTATAGGTTAAGCAGAAATACATTTTTAAACCTTTAAAGCATAAATACATTTCATTCAAGGCTAGCTCATCATTCATTATTTTTTTTTTCATAGGAGGTGTTCCATGAATTCAATTTGATTGGTTCTTTAACTTCGTTGTGAATTGATACAAAATAAAATACTTACAAAAACTTTTTCAAAAACAACGTTTTTCTTGTGGACTAAAATATAGAAAATAAATTATGGCTCGCCCAAAAAACGTGTTTCGGGCAGATTTATGATTGAAGCGAAAAGCACACAACACACGAATTTTGGAAATTTGATGGTGAACGTACAGCCCGACCCACGTTTTTTGGGGCGAGCCATAATTTATTTTCTACTTTTTAGTCCACAAGAAAAACGTGTTTTTTTAATTTTTTTAAGTATTATATTTTCTACTTTTTAGACCACAAGAAAAACGTTTAAGACTTGATTAAGTATGACTTGACGTACGTATCGATGATACGCATCGCCAGCGCCTGCTCGTCTATAACGTGAGCGCCCGCACGTCATACTATATATATGTATATAGTATATATATACTTTACTCCATTAAGCTAATTTAGGTCTCTAATTGCTAGTTTTTATGATTGTATCTGAAATTGTTAGGCAAAAATAGCCTGCATGCAAAATTTCAGATCTCTAGAGCAATCAGAAGTGGGCTAATTTTCGTTGTCAATGTTAACAACAAACAAACAAACAAACGCGAAGCTGAGTAAAGAAAAAAGTGTTAATAAATAGATTCAATGGCCAATTAATTGCTAAAAAACAGCCCTAGGGTCAGAAGTTATACCGGTTAATACTTAATCATTTTACGCAGTATGATTGGCAGAAAAATTATAAGTATCGAAACTCGCAGGCTTGTCAATAAAAATAATGTTTCGTTAACGATGGCTCATTGAATACGAGTAAATCATTAAATCTCACAAACATAGTCAAGGAAATACTCAGACAAGATCAAAGTTAATATTAAATTATTTGAAAAAAATCACATGCTTTTGAAGCAAGGGAGTTATGAAGCATTTTCACCTCACAGCACGTCGTAAGAAATCAAAATTCAATTTTTTAATTGGTTAATAAATTGTTGCTTTTAATTCGAGAGAATTTTAATCTAACACTAAAGCTCAGACAATATTAATAGTTTTTAAACGTCGGAGATGGCATTGGCCATATTTCGCTTATACAGACAAAAATTAAATTTTGCTATATAATAATAATTGCGGCATGAGCATTGCGGAAAAGGCAATAACCACCTATCTACTATTCAGAATATCGAGAATTTTCTCAGCTGCTTGCGTGTCTCGAACACGCAACTCACTGCACTTATTCTGAAGTTCTGAAACGTTAACCTCTACTTTAGGCCAGTCCATCTTACCGTGGGAGCATAAAAGCATTGAAAAGAAGCAGAATGTTTTATGAAAAGTAGATTCAGTAATATGTGTTCGTCTCAAGAATTAATCTAGACCGTAAGCTACAATAAATATTTTCGAGGCATCTCATTTGTAAAGGCAACTTGTTTCATTTCATTAAATTTCGTTATAGAGCTAGTCAGGATATTACAGTAGCCTGTCCTCCAATCATGGTCGCAAAATTTTCTGTTTCTCCGATTGTCTCGCAGAAAACGTTAAATTTATCTTCGACGCCCAACTGAAATTCATTATGTAAACATTAAATACTTATACTTCTAAAATATTCATCTGAGTTGGAAACTGCCCAAAATTGCTCTCGCACTAAATCTACAAGCAAACTTTTTACACTGGCGCGGAAGAGCTTTGAAAAAATTATTACTGATTGATTTAATTGATTTGATTCCGGTTTGAAGGCGAAGAAGAAGTCATGCGCCGACCGCTTGTAAGTTGTAACACTTGGACTCAGCAATGATTATTTAATTCTTGTCTTCATCTCTCATTTTCAATTTCTATCCTTTCCGTTGGTGCATGCTCTCCACGTTGTCATTGGTTTCTCATGATGTGAAGCGATGAGAGGGAAATTGTCATTAGGTCCAGTACTCTTCATTGGCTATAAGGTAGTTAGACGACCAGTTTGTGTGAGATACGTAGCAGTTGCTTGCACTATGGAGTGCTGAACTCTTCTGGGGTAATTGCCTCCACCAAGAAGCACACGCACAGAAATGTAAGGGACTCCCAGGGCATTGATGCTTGATACCATCACCCGTCTCTCATGGTCATATAGGGCACATATCAGGAGGAAGTGTTCAATTGTTTCTTCTACCCCACAATACAGGCACATGGGAGTGTCAGCCATCCCAGATCGATGGGGGTAAGTGAACGAACCCCAATATGTCCCATACAATTAGGCGTAAAAATTATTACTCTTATACAAAGTCATAGATTTAGTTTCAATCATAAGGCCTGGTGGAAATAAACCTTCACAAAAATTTCTGATAAATTTGGCTTAGTCTATCAGGTTTCATGGGCGGAAATATTACGTAAATAAAGAACTTTAACCAAAGCGATTAATACGGAGGCTTAGTACTTACGAACACCATTAATGATGCGATGAACATCGGGTTCCAAGCTTGAGTTAGCTATGAAAATTCAGCGGCGATGTCTAGATTCGAAAGCAGGGTAGACATTGCCATATATGTATATCTACACGGATGAGGTCAATATAACAATAATTTTTTATTATATTTTATTATTATTTCCCGCACAATTCAACGGAATAGTGCAAAAATTCGACCGATGTTATTTTCATGGTTGTGCAATGATGGAACATGAATGGAATAATCAGTATTGCTTGAAACATATGAACTAAACTGTAATCACAAAAACAAACTTAATATCCGTTCTTTTTAGCGCATTTTCTCATCTATGGAAAAAAGGCTCTAGTGTGCTCGTCATGTCCGTCCGTCCGTCTATACGTCTGTCTGTCCGTCTGTCTGTCTGTCCGTCCGTGACTTCACGTTTTCGTCGACGAAAAAATGCGCTCATGCACTGTCACTCACTGCAGTGAGTACTGAGTTATATTTTTCTAATCCATCCACTCCCGCTGCCACGCATTGCAACTAAACTAAAAATTCGGTGAACTGAAGTTGCTAGAAAATACAACGATAACGTATATACAGCGCGGGAGCACGTTCGGCAGCACTGCCAATTAATGACTGTCTGTTAATCTATAATACGAAAGCGAATTACCGAGCAGTTGACGCGACCATCCTTTATATGGTGAGTATCACCATAAGCATGACGAGTAAACTTAGGATCAATACGAAACTTTTTAATAGTAATAAATTTATGGAAGATATTCTTGTTCAGCAATAATAAGGCCAATTGCTGACACTCCCTATAGGGTTATCGATATCGCAAAATTCACAACAAATTTGCATTATGCATCTTATTACGCTGTAAAATTACAATTATATCACAAAAATAGACAACGAATGAAATATTTCTATAATAAACCTCGTCTAAAACAAGTTTTGAAATATTTGGTTTTGATCCACCAAGTCAATATTGTCAATTAATCTAGAAATAACATCAGGAACATGAGTAAAACAATTGTCTCCACAAATCACTAATTTGACTGGCTAATATCGGTTCATGATTGCATAATCATTATAAGGACGTGTAATTAATATTAAATTTAAGTAATCGAATTAAGTATTGAATTTAAGTTGATAATTTTATCAATTTATTTTAAACCAATGATTTTATTGGGAACCAATATGGCGAAATTACAGTGTCCGGACCATAAAATTCTCGACCGATTTTGAATATGACAAAGGAATATCTAATAACGAAGAAATGAGACAAGGAGCCTTAAATAAATATCACTGATATTAAAGCCCCTCTAAGTGTGTAAGTATAGTGACCGACCAAATAATAAAGGGTTTTAAATGACAAATCATTAACCTGACTTTGATATAGTATAATTTGCTAAATTAAATGCAAGTGCAGGCTAAGATCTCGAGATAATTGCTCAGCTAGAACAGTTTCAGAAATTGCGGAAGACTCGTGATTCTGATTTCTTTTCACTAAACGGACAACACCTAAAAAATGGACACTGGTCAGAGGACCCTTCAAGTTTGAAAAAAATTCTAATAATGGAAGAATAAATAAATAAATTACAAATCTATTTATTATTCACTCAACTGACGTCCCCTATTAAGTCTGAAGTCCCTTATATAATAATTGTTCCTCATATCAAATCCTTCCACTACCTCTCTTATGATGTCATTCAAGAGCCTCATATGCATTAGAGTTCTCTATTCCACTGCGAGTCATGTGTGACCGTCTAAATTGACACGTAATATTAAACCTCAAATTACATTTCTGAGGTTCCCCATGCAGCCCACGCTTTAGCCTCAGCTTCATCAAAGTTTACCCTTTTTTGTTGAATTGAAAAATTTCCTCAATTAAGGAATCCGGTTTGATACCATATACAACATCCAAAAACTTACATGACATGCTGCAGACTATGCAGATTGAATCAGTGACACTGCTTGCGGCTATTACTTTGAGGAAAATAACCTTGATGTTTGAAACCGTTTAAATTTTATGAAACATCTGGCTATATACTCCCTTAATCCTAATCTGATGTATTGAAATTGCCTTACCCGGTGATTTTGATCGAGCAAGTAATCACTTATACACGGTAATCGTTGCGAGATGATCCGTAAAGGTGTGTTTTTGCCATTTTTTGCGCATTTTTTTCATTTATGGAAAAAAGTCGCTATTGTGCTCGCCATGTCCGTCCGTCCGTCTGTCTGTCCGTCCGTCCGTGACCTCACGTTTTCGTCGACGAGAAATGCGCTCTCTGTCACTCACTGCAGTGAGTACTGAGTTATATTTTTTATTGCTTAGCAATCAGCTGTTTTCTCTGTAACAAAATGTTGGCTACATCGCATCAGAAAAAGCATCAATTTTATTTAAGCACGTGGATAAGTTATTTTTTTAATTTACGTATATATATCTCTTTAAAGATAGTTGG